ACACAAACACACAAAAGAAGACATAGGCCTTCAATTGACACTATCTCAACTATTATTTGTTTCCCCTCACTACTGGATTTCCTTTGTTTGAAATTCTTTCCATTCTTCCAGAGGAGTTTGAATTTAGGGACCAGGAAAAATGGTCTGAGCTAAGGACTGAATCTTCACTGATGTGAAAATCAATCAAAATCTTTCATCTTCACCCCCAAATGTTACTAATGTTTTCCCCTTTTTAAAGCTGTAATCTGTGCAATAATTTCAGACTTCATCCAAATATGAGCATAGCCAGGGACGGTATTCACTTACCTTCACTACCGGTTCGCAAATATGAGCACATGCCACCTCTGAGCATGCGCAGTGTGTCAAAAATGGGATGTGGTGAGTGGTGGAGCCTCCCACCTGGACCGGATAGAACCGGCTGAATGCCACCACTGAGTATATGCCACCTCTTTGGTACAGCTGGGGTATTTTTTTTTTTACATAACAGGTAGACTTGTGATTTAAATTTGCAAAAATCTACCTCCCTTGAACCAAAATTAAAGGTAAACCAGCCAACAGGACACATAGCAGAATAGGGAGGAAAATCTTCCAAATTCTCTCTAGTCTTTTTAAGTTTCTTCTTTTCTCCACACTTTCCTCCCCCAAATTTCAGCCACTCTTTGAATAACTGGTTTCTTAATCTTCTCCAGCTGTTCCTCTAAATCAATCATATTTTGTCACTTAGAAAAGATGTCCAGAAAAGTTTAGTCTGTTGTCTTTTCAATGGGCCCGTCTAGATTAACTTCTTTCTTCTATATGTGTTCCCTATAATTCATAACTTTTTATATTTTCCCAACCTCTTAAATTTCCTTCTTCTGGGTGATTTCCCATTCCTTTTGAAAGATCAGAGATCAGTCTTCCTTACAAATTTCTTCTCTTCCTCAAATGCTAATTTATTTTTTTTAAAAAAGGCTTAGGAGCACCAGGTTCAAAAGTTCAGACAGAGGGAAGGACATTTAAATTAATTAGTGAAAAAAAATCCCCAGGTTTCAGGGCAAAGACATGTAAAAAAGATGTGAAGTCTCCATCACCTAGCTAGAACAGTGTGAACATGTCATTTGGCCAGAATGCCTCAGCTGCTGACCCTTACTGACCTTGGTTATCTCAAAAATTAAGCAGGGTTAAGACTCAGTTTGGGTGATTAAAGTTATTTAATCCAGTACCTGGACGAAGCTGTCTATCTAGACCCGTACCAGTCGGGCTTCAGGCAGAGGTACAGCACGGAAACGGCATTGGTCACATTGGTTGACGATCTCTGGAGGGCTCGGGACAAGGGTTGTTCCTCTGTCCTGGTCCTATTAGATCTCTCAGCGGCTTTTGATACCATCGACCATGGTATCATGCTGCAGCGGTTGGGGGGGTTAGGAATAGGAGGCACCGTGTTACGGTGGTTCTCCTCCTTCCTCTCCGACTGTTCGCAGTTTGTGTTGGCAGGGAGGCAAAGGTCGACCTCAAGGCGCCTTGCTTGGGGGGTGCCGCAGGGGTCGGTCCTCTCACCCCTTCTGTTCAACATTTATGTGAAGCCTCTGGGTGAGATTATCCGTGGTTTTGGGGTGAGAGTCCACCAGTACGCTGATGACACTCAGTTGTACATCTCCACCCCAGACCACCCCAATGATGCCCTTGATATGATGTCCTGCTGCCTGGAGGCCGTGCGTGTCTGGATGGGGAGAAACAGGCTCAGACTCAACCCTTCCAAGACTGAGTGGCTGTGGTTTTCGGCGTCCCGGTATAGTCAGCTGGTGCCATCGCTGACTATTGGGGGTGATTTTTTGCCCCCCACAGAGAGGGCTCGCAATCTGGGTGTCCTCCTGGATGCACAGCTGTCTTTAGAAGAGCACATGATGGCCGTGGCCAGGGGGGTCTTTTATCAGGTTCGCCTGATCCACCAGTTGTGACCCTTTCTAGACCGGGATGCCCTACGCACGGTCACTCACGCCCTTGTCACCTCCCGGCTGGACTACTGTAATGCTCTCTACATGGGGCTCCCCTTGAAGAGTACTCGGAGGCTCCAACTGGTCCAGAATGCAGCCGCATGGGTGGTTATGAGCGCAACTCGTTGCGCCCATGTAACACCCCTCCTGTGCGAGCTGAACTGGCTCCCAGTGGTCTTCCGGGTGCAATTCAAGGTGTTGGTTACCACCTTTAAAGTGCTCCATGGCATAGGACCAGGGTATTTACGGGACTGCCTTCTGCCACCAATAGCCTCCCACCAACCAGTTCACTCCCACAGAGAGGGACTTCTCAGGGTGCCGTCGGCCAAATTATGCCGGCTGGTGACACCCAGGAGGAGAGCCTTCTCAGTGGGAGCTGCTGTCCTTTGGAACAAACTGCCCCCGGAAATATGTACAATCTCTGACCTCCGGGTTTTTCGCTGTGCCCTTAAGATCCTACTGTTCTGACAGGCGGGGCTGTCTATTTAAGTGGTTTTTAAATTGGAGTTTTAACTAGGGGTTTTAAATTTTGGCCGAAACTGTTTAATTGATTTTAATTACTTTTTAATGATGATGTCTGTATATTTATGTTTTTAAATTGGCTGTACATCACCCCGAGTCCTTCGGGAGAAGGGCAGTATATAAATAAAATTAACATTAACATTAATTTTAACATTTAAGAAAGTTGCCATGCCATCCTCTTGATGCCTAATGCTTCAAAGATGTAAAAGCAGGGGTGGACTCCTGGGGATTCGGCAGGGTTCGGGCGATCCTGTAGCCAAGGATCACTGGGATTCAGCAAACCCCTGGCCACACCCACCCTGCCACACCCCTCCCACCCTGTCCCACCCCTTCCAGGAGTCTCCACACAGCCCGTTCATCATTCCAGGTAAGTGCAGGGGCCACATGGAGGGTCTGGGAGGGCAGAAAACGGGCCTACCAGAGGTTAGGGCCTGTTTCCGGCCTCCAGAGAGCCTCTGGAGCCTTGGAACAGTGTTTGCCCTCCTGGAGGCTCAAGGAAAGCCTTTGGAGCCTGGGGAGGGTGAAAAACGCACCCCCTGCTGTGATGAAGGCGGATAACTAGGCTATGCCCACCATGGCCACACCCACCCAGCAACGGGGCACTGAACCCATTGCTAAAGGCTCTGAAGCCCACCCCTGTGTAAAAGAGTAACTCATAAAGAAGAAAGGGGCTCTCTGAAAGTGTATTAGTATACAAACAAGAGATATGAGTTCCCTAAATTTGCTATAACTTTCCTGGGTTATGGAGGGTCCCAGAATCACCCCATGATATCCTCTATAGAGCAGTGGTCTTAAAGGAGACATATGTAATTAAAAGAAAGTGCTAATGCGTTCTGTGTGTGTATAAAGTGGGTATGAAAATGGGTTGGATTCTTTCTTTCTTTCTTTTTTAATTTTTTTTTATTATTTTTATAACACAATATAACAATACAAGACATACAACATTTATAAATGCGCTCTCTTTATAGCTATTGCATGGTGATCTTCTTTGTTATTCACAATTTCCCCTTCTTTCTCTTTATATTATTCCGATTTACTACTTGTCCCCGACATTTTAATTACTATATATACAATATATTTCTCACATTCGTATCTATTTCCTATTTTTTATACTTTAACATATCCTTTCTCTTTCTTTCTTTCTTTCTTTCTTTCTTTCTTTCTTTCTTTCTTTCTTTCTTTCTTTCTATTTCTCAAGTTTGCAAAATATAATTGGAAGCAAATCTGAATGTATGCCTATTAAAAGGATAATTTAATTAGATCTAAAAAAGATAATTAAATATTTAATTAAAATTAAAAAGATGCATTAGAATTAATTGATTTTTAGTTATATAGATGAAAGTTTTAATGAAGTGTTTACAGACTTAAAAAGCAATACAAGAGGATTTTCCCTTTAGAGTTAAGGAATTTGAATCAATAAATTGATTTTTAATTAACATGAATCATGATACTTTACAAAGATCAATTAGTATAAATAGAAATATATCTCACTTCCTACAATGGGGAGGGGGAGAAAAAAAGGGACTTTTTAAAAATGGCAGGGTAAGTTGTTTTAAACAAAGATTTTATGTGGTCTTGTTTTGGTTGGGATATTGCTTCTGGTTTTTAGGCTTGAAGTAGAAAAAAAAGAAGTTTGGAATTTAGTTTGAAGATTTAATGTAGTTAAATCTTAACTACATAAGATTTAATTAAGATTTAAATCTTAATTAAAAGATTTAATGTAGTTATAGAATTGGCTTGCAATAAATATAGATAGTTTAAAAACATGAGGTCACAATTGCACTGATATTTTATTGTGTCAAGAAAAGTTGGAAATCAATCAACATTTGTCTCCCTTTTTCTTTCTTGTCCATCATGCACTCTTCCTCTTTTCATGGTTTAATTTTTATTTTCATTCTATTTTGCCCTTAGTAAACCGTAATCAAACTTCAATATAATAAAAAAAAGTTAAAACAAACATCACCATGATGTTTGACATTAACGTTTGATCAGTGGTGAAATGTAAAATTTGTTACTACTGGCTCTGTGGGTGTGGCTTGGTGGGGGGGGTGGTAATGTGACTGGGTGGGCATGGCCAACTTTTTTTTTTTAACTTTTAAAAGCATTTTTTCTACAACCTCTTTGGCCAAAAAGATTGTAGAAAAAATGCTTTTAAAAGGCTCTGACGATCCCAGCTGAGCCGTGCGATCATCACAGACTTTTTAAAAAAACTTTTAAAAGCATTTTTTTCTATAACTGATCATGTGACTCAACTGGGCATGGGGTGGGGGGAGGCAGGGATTTTTGCTACTGGTTCTCTGAACCACCTGCCACCATCTCTACCAGTTTGGGTGATTCTGGTCTGAACCGGGAGCATTTCACCCCTGCGTTTGATGCCCAGGTAGCCATAAAGGGCTACCTGGGCATCCATAGAATTAATATTGTTTAAGGACATATTGAACCCGGAGGAATACCCATTTTATTATTTTTTTTATTGTTACATTTATACTCAATCGTTCTGTTTTACTAAAAGCTCAAGACAGTTGTTATTCCTTGAAACCACACGTTGGCTTTTTCACTAATCTAAATTCTGGGGTGTATGCTGTAATGTGACTAATTCCTATATCTCACTTTATGAGGGTTTTTTTCTCATGAGTTGTTGCCTGTTATTCAGCTCAGGTCTTATCAAGATGATGTAAACTTTGGGAGAGAAAATGAGGGTCAGTAATCCAGCACTTGAGGCTAAAATGGAGAAGATCTCGACAGCCACCGTGTATTTCCCTTTGGTGCTTTGGTAGGCTGGAACAAAAGAGATCCAGACACTGCAAAAGAGAAGCATGCTGAGGGTGATAAATTTAGCTTCATTGAAACTGTCTGGAAGGTTCCTGCCAAGGAAAGCCACTGTAAAGCTGATCATGGCCAAGAGGCCAATGAAACCCAGGACACTGTAGAACATGGCAGGGGAGCCTTCGTTGCACTCCAGGACAATTTCTGTAGGTAGGGAGTGCATGTCAAGATCTGGAAAAGGAGCAGAGTTTACCAACCACACTATACAAAAAGTGGTTTGAATGAAGGAGCAGGAAAACACAATAAAGATGGCTAGCCTGTTCCCTACCCATGACCTCATCTTAGAACTTGGCCTGGTGGCCATGAAAGCTAAAACCACAGTGAGGGTTTTGGCCACCACACAAGAAACCGCCACAGAGAAGATGATTCCAAAAGCAGTTTGGCGAAGAAGACAGGTCACCCTCTGGGGCCGCCCAATGAAAAGCAAAGGGCAAAGAAAGGAAAGCAGGAGGGAGACCAGGAGGGCGTAGCTGAGACCCCGGTTGTTGGCCTTGACAATGGGAGTATCCTTGTTATGAATGAAAACCGTGAGGACCAGAGATGTGATGGAGGAAAATAAAAGAGCAACAGTGGCCAAGGTGATTCCCAAAGGCTCTTGGAAAGATAGGAAGCTGGTCTCTTTTGGAATGCACTGATCCTGGGCTTTGCTGGGATAGTGATCCTCTGGACACTGGTAACAAAAGTCCATATCTGAAAAGAAAAAACCAAGTCTATTTAGAAGTTGGTCTTTAGAATTAAGATGAAAAGAGTTTTGTACTAGTGCCAAATAAAAGTACATGATCCCCAAACAATGGTGTTTTCAAGAGTCGTAATCCAGAATTTATCACTCATTTATTTTTTATTTGCTATTAATTCATTACTTTTATATCCCAGCTTTCATTCAGAAGCTCTAGGCCACACACCTAGCCCTCTGTTGGCGTGCTTTCAATACAAAAAAACAAATTTTGTGGGATATAATGAATTGAGAGAAAGGGCAGGGCCAAAGTCAACATTGAATTTTCATGGTAAACCTGAACCTGATTTCTCTCTTCCTTGTCCATCATCTTAACCAGTCCACTTCTTCACGTGATAGAAAGTGGAAACTGATCAATCCAGATCCTTGACTACATCTGAGTTTTGAACAACTTTACAAACATTTCAGAAACATCAAACATTGTTACTTAGAGATGTGCATCCATTTCAGGCCAAACAATGATTCTTTGTAGAACATGGAGAGCTGAAACACAGTTTCATTTCCACATAATAGATGTCTTTATTCTATATTTAGCTTCTCCTTTCTATTTGATGCTCTGGAGAGATGAATTAAGATGAACATCAGTAATCCGCCTGCCCTACATACAAAAAATAACATGGTGCACAGGAAGAGGAAATATTCAGAACTATCCAGCCAATTTTCTTGGCCATAAATTGGGATTTTTTGCTTCATCAGTACTTCGTTTGTGGACTGTGCATTCCAAGCATTTCTGGGTTTAGGGACTAGCTGTGACAGGTTTTTCTTTTCTTGAAACTCAGCAACAAAGACTCCTCACCCAGAGAAAATTATACTTTGCCTTCACAAAGTCAGATCAGAGAAAGACCTAATGATTTCATTCACACAACATGCTAAACAAGTCCAGGCTTAACATTGGTTGGAACTTCTGAAGCTTAACCATGTTGTCTTCCTTTTGTACTTCATAAGTTGTGTATTTTATAAAATTCTTTTGGGAATAAAGGTCAACTACTTTCCATATTACTAAGATCATGGCTCCCGGACCTCTCAATTCTTGGCAAATAAATGGGGAAGAAATGGAGGTGGTGGCAGATTTTATTTTCCTGGACTCCAAGATCACCACAGATGGGGATATCAGCCAAGAAATTAAAAGACGCTTACTCCTGGGAAGGAAAGCTATGGCAAAGTTAGACAGCATACTAAAAAGCAGAGACATCACCATGCCAACAAAAGTGCATATAGTCAAGGCTATGGTTTTCCTAGTTGCAATGTATGGTTGTGAAAGTTGGACCCTAAGGAAGGCTGAGAGCCAAAGAATTGAGGCCTTTGAACTCTGGTGCTGGAGAAGACTCCTGCGAGTCCCTTGGACTGCAGGCGATCAAACTGGTCAGTCTTACAGGAGATCAACCCTGACTGCTCTTTAGAAGGCCAGATCCTGAAGATGAAATTCAAATAATTTGGCCACCTAATGAGAAGGAAGGACTCACTGGAGAAGAACCTAATTCTGGGAAAGATTGAGGGCAAAAGAAGAAGGGGACAGCAGAGAACGAGGTGGCTGGATGGAGTCACTGAAGCAGTCAGTGTGAGCTTAAATGGATTCTGGGAGATGGTAGAGGACAGGAAGGCCTGGAGAAACATTGTCCATGGGGTCACGATGGGTTGGACATGACTTTGCAACTAAAAACACTTTCCATATTAATGAAAAATATGAATCTCAGTTTTCACATGTCTTTAATGTGGGTTAAAGATTTGGTCAAATACTTGGCCCCAGAGGAATCCACCAAGGACAGCAAGTGATGAAAGGAACAATGGATTGATGGGATGCAAACTAACCCATTGTATGCATGGAGTGACATTGCCAGAACATAAGAAAGGCAAGAGCTTGCATCACAATGGGGCAGCACAGACCTATTTCAATTCAACCTGATTTTTACATAAAGGATTCTAATTCCAACACTATCATCAATAAATTAAGGCTGAGTGGGCATTGTACCTTACCCATTTGGTTTGAAACTTTTCCACTTGGGCATGGAAGGCAATCATAACAACAAAATGGTTCCCCTTCCTTTTTGGTTCTGCTGTAACCTTTTTGACAGAATTCATTACACAAAGAACGCGGCTGTACCTGTGTGCAAAGAAAAATGGCAAACTCTTTAACTCTTAGCAAAACCTATTGAGCAAATGAGTAATGTGAAATGATCAAATCTGGGTTGATCCTGGTTTGTATGTATCTGCTTTGGCGTCAGTCAATGATGAAATTCAGCTGTTTCTATCCGGATTGTGCAATCCGGTAGCGCCAGCGGCAGGAGGCTCCACCCACCTGCCCGAACGTCATCATGTCCCATTTTTGACCCTCTGTGCATGCACATAAGGCTCTGTGCATGCATGGAGGAGGTGCACGCTCACATTTGCAAACTGGTAGCGACGGTAAATGAATACCACCCCTGGCATCAGTGTTGACTTCTGATGACTGCCTGGACAAGTCCTTCAGTTTCTTTCTTTCTTTTTTTTTAAACATAGCTTACCGTTTTCTACTTCCTAGAAATGACAGGTACAATGACTCAGGGGTTAAAAGACACTGAATTTGTCAGCCTGGGTTCGAGCCTGGAAAGTTGACAGCCTGGGTTTGAGACCCAAGCATCATGTGACGGGGTGAGCTCCCATTATTTGCCCCAGCTCCTGCTCACCTAGCAGTTTGAAAGCATGCAAATGTAAGTAGATAAATAGGTACCACTTTGGTGGGAAGTTAACAGTGTTCTGTGTACCTCAGCATATAGTGATGCTGGCCACATGAACGTGGACGTTTCAAACCATAAGAGGTGCAGTGGTTAGAATGCAGTATTGGAAGCTAATTCTGCTGACTGCCAGGGGTTCGATCCTCACAGGCTCAAGATTGACTCAGCCTTCCATCCAAGTAAAATGAGGGCCCAGATTGTTGGGGGCCATATGCTTACTCTGTAAAACACTTAGAGAGGGCTGTAAAGCACTGTGAAGTGGTATATAAGTCTAAGTGGTATTGCTATTCAGACAATACTGGCTCCCTCGGCTAAGAAACGGAAATGAACACTATCCCCTAGAGTTTGACATGACCGGACAGGAGAAACCTTTATCTTTACCTCTACCTATGACTGAGAGAGAGTGACTGACCAAGGGTCACCTAACTGGCTTTGTGCTGATATAGCAAGATAAAATTGCTTCTAATGAGATCATCAGTATACTCATTTTCATGTTCATATGTCAACTTAATTATTTCTGTTCTTTCAATCTCAGTTATAGAATAGAATAAAATAGAATAGAATAGAATAGAATAGAATAGAATAGAATAGAATAGAACAGAATTCTTTATTGGCCAAGTGTGTTTGGAGACACGTGCAGGGGTGAAATACTCCCGGTTCGGACCGGATCACCCGATCCGGTAGCGATGGTGGCTGGTGGTTCGGAGAACCGGTAGCAAAAATCCTTGTGCCCCCACCACCACCATGCCCAGCTGAGCCGCACGATCATCAGAGGCTTTTGTTTTTTACTTTTAAATGCATTTTTTCAACAACCTCTTCCGACAAAAAAAATGCTTTTAAAAGTAAAAAAAAAAAAAAAGCCTCTGATGATTGTGCGGCTCAGCTGGGATTGTCAGAGGCTTTTCAAAGCATTTTTTTCTGCAACCTCTTGGCCGAAGAGGTGGTAAAAAAAATGCTTTGAAAAGTCTCTGACGATCCCAGCTGAATTGCCTGATTGGCAGAGAGGTATTTTTTTAAAAAGCCTCTCTAATGATCCCAGCTGAGTTGCCTGATCAGCAGAGGCTTTTCAAAGCATTAGAAAAAATGCTTTGAAAAGTTAAAAAAAAAAGTTGGCCATGCCCACCCCAGTCACATTACCCCCCCACCAAGCCACGCCCACAGAACCTGTAATAACAAATTTTACATTTCACCCCTGCACACAAGGAATTTGGCTTTGGTGCATATGCTCTCAGTGTACATAAGGATAATAAAATACATTCTTCAAGAATAAAAAGATACAACAGACTATTACTAGAAACTTTAAGAACATAAAAAGAGATATATCAATGAATTTGCCCCTTCCAGATAAGGTGCTATAACTGTAATGGAATATTTTGGCATTGTTTCTCATCCATTACTACCAGTTGCAAATTAATTACATTTATCCTCAAAATCTTCCTATACTGTATTTACATTTAAAACAAAACAAAGACATTATACAATGGTAATTATTTATAGTACTTGTACCAAAAAATTACAATTTGGTAGGTCCTTCAGTCACCCTATTGTGGATTTTGGACAGATAAGATCTGAGTCACTATAAAAATTCTTGAAATAAACTTCAAGTTATTGACCAGACATGCTCTTACAGCTATTTCATTGTCTTTTGCTTGAATTTGGAAAAGGGAAAAATAATGAGATGAATTCCAAAATGTATATGAAAAAAAAAATACCTGGTTAAATCTTCTTGGCCATCTAATGGCATCAACATAAAGACTGAACATTTGGTCTTTGGGAGCTCTGAGATCAAATTTTCCCACTTTAACTCGATGTAGACTTAGATTTGGGGATGCAATCCAGTTGATAATATCAAATCCTGTTTCCAGTTTCCCATTTTGATCAAAGGAAATCAATTCCCCAACGCTATTGTTAAATGACACTTTTCGTAAATAGTAGTAAAACTAAATTCACAGAGGAAAAAAAAGTTAACCGATAAACTTTACAAAAATAAACATCATTCATCATTTGCCGCATCACTGAGCCATAGTGGCACAATGGTTAGAATGCAATACTGCAAGCTACTTCTGGTAACTCCCTGTTGCCAGCAGTTCGGCAGTTCAAATCTCACCATGCTCAAAGTTGACTCAGATTTCCATCCTTCCGAGGTGGGTAAAATGAGGACCCAGATTGTTGGGGGCAGTATGCTGACTTTATAAACTGCTTAAAGAGGGCTGTAAAGCACTGTGAAGTGGTATATATCAGGACCATCATAACAGCATTATGGGCCCTGGGCAAAGCAGTGTACTGGGATCCCTGTACATATACTGGGACAAGTACTCACAGGAATAAAAATGTAAATGATTGATAAAATTAAACATATATTTATTTTATTGGCACTTCCAACATTGGCTCCTCTCATCAGCTACAGAAAAAAAATCAATGTTAATTTCTATTAATGCATGTTAGTATTAATTAAAAAATGCAGTAAAATGTAATAAATATGTTGCTGTGTGATACAAGGTGCATTGAAGGGTTAACATAGACAGATTAATGTGGGGCCCCTATGCTCATGGGGCCCATGGGCAAGTGCCCATCAGACCCATGCGTTAAGACAGCCCTGATATATAAGTCTAAGTGATATTGCTATTTTCTAACAGTGGGAATCATACCTAGGTAATGATTACAATGCAGTAGCATGTAATACATATATAGCAACAGGGGTGGGATTCAACCGGTTTGGACCAGTTCAGACGAACCGGTTCACTCTGATGATCAGCTGGACCCACCCGCCCCTGAGCTTTACTTATCTTTATCTTCACAGCTGATTAGCATGGCAGAACGAATTGCTATGCCTCAGCTGTTTTAATTCCCTAGCACTAATGTGGAAGGTGATTTTTCATTGAACTGTGCACGCGTGCACAGCGCACGGTCACCGAACCGGTTGTTAAACCAGAAGGATCCCACCACTGTATAGCAATATGTTTCGTGTTTGTATATGCAGGACATTACCTGCCACAGCTGTTGATTCAGGAGTTTCTTTTGTTCTTTCTTGGAGATAATTCTGTATTTCAACTTCAGTGAACTCATGGACTGCAATGCATGGGCCACAGCATAAACTGCATTGTAGATGCTATAGCTATGGGGAGTTATGCTCATGTCAAAGACAGATCTAGGAAGAGTCTCCAGTTTCTCCTCCCCACTGCAGAGATTCGAAACATTGTCCTCTAAGGTTGTTGGGAAGGAACAATCAAATGCCTGTTTCCAAAAGTCTTTAATAAAACCATCTCTGGTTTCCACATTAGGGTTTCTCCTCTGAAGAAAATTTTGGAAACCCACCACCTCCTTTGACTGGGTTGCAAAGGCTAAGGAACCATGAAGGATATCTAAATCCCAAGATCGCTGAAAGGGAACAGAAGTAAACTCCATCTCTGCTGTCATCATCCAGACTTTACCTGTCTTCATTGATATGTTTTCATGTTCTGAAATTATGGGAAACATCCTCAAAAAGATGGTAGTGTGAATTTCACCATGGAAAACCACAACACTGGCTCTCCTACTAATTATCATTTGGTACATTTTGACCCATGATTCTACCATTTCATTAACGCCAGTTTTAAAAGAAAGGGTTGGCAATCGTTCTATGAATTCAAAGCAGATACCACTTTGGGCAAACTTGGGAAGTTCCTTCTGTACAAACCTGAGGCGACTGTGATCATGTATGAAAATGACACCGATCCAGGTCCATGTGAAAAGCAAAAGCAGCTGGATCATCCCTGCATACTGTTGGTTAATATTAGGGAACATCCATTGGAAGAAGGCTTTTTGGGATGGGTCATTAATCACAGGAGAAGATCCATATCCAAGCTGTAAAGAAAAGAAAGACTAACTAAATGACCCTATGTACAATTTTATTGTCTGAAGCAGAGGTGGTATTCAGCCGGTTCTATCCGGTTCAGGCAAACTGGTAGTGGTGGTGGTTGGAGGCTCCGGCCACCCACACAGATGTAATCATGTCCTGTTTTTGATGATCTGTGCATGCATGGAAGGCCCCCCCCACACTCACATTTACGAGCCGGTAGCGAAGGTAAATGAATACCACCCATGGTCTGAGGGATGGAAAGCCATCTTATATTTTGGGGAAGGATGGAAGAAGATGAAAAGTGGGGAGAAGATCTGTCAGGATGGAACTTTACTTTTCTATAGTTTCCAAGATTTTATGGAAGTTTGGTCTTTTCGTGTATTTCCTACTGCATGTTCCAATGAAGAGGGGGCAAACAGAGCCTGGATAGCTCTGCAGACAAGACACTGTAATTTAACACCAGCTGTCTGCAATTAAAGTAAGTTCAAATCTTGCCAGGCTCAAGGTTGACTGAGCCTTCTATCCTTTCTAAGATAGGTAAATTGAAGACCCAGTTTGTGGGGGCAATAAGCTGACTGTATAAATATACAAAAGTATGAAGGCTATTGCTTAACGCACTGTAAGCCGCCCTGAGTCTCTGGAGAAGGGCCGCATATAAATCAAATTAAAAAAAACAAACAAACAAAGAACATATTGGCTTAATAGCATCAAATGAAATACAAAATTGAACATACAACAATGGAAAGAAACTGTGCTTGGCAGGGTAGCATGGAGAGCACTTTCCTATATAGTCACCAAGAGTTGGATACAACTAAATGGTTAACAACAAACCAACAAACTTATTCCAATGCAATATTCCAATTATCTTCATTTATTTATCTCTGTATTGAGATACATTTCCATCAAAATCATTGCCAAAGAATGGGAAAAGAGGGATTTTACTGAATATGAGTTATAACTACAGATAGCAATTCTTTGAATCCTAACAATATTTTAGGAAAGGAATGGGCAAAACTATTAATCTGTCAAGTTCAATCAATACTTTGTAAATATATATCAGTCAAGTAAATATATCAGTCAAGACACTTAACACGATTTTGAAAATAGTATTGTGAGAAACCACAAAGTTGTTTCCAAATTCTTTAAGAATTGGGATATGTTCTTTTTGGAGTTAAATCCTGGTAGAACTACCATTATTAGCAATTTTTTTTTCAGTTTAGAGGTCCTATGTTTATTTTAGTAATATGACTTGACAGAATGTGGATAGAAGTACTGATAGGTTCAATCTAATATCTACAAAAAAGGAAGGAAGGAAGGAAGGAAGAAGGAAGGAAGGAAGGAAGGAAGGAAGGAAGGAAGGAAGGAAGGAAGGAAGGAAGGAAAGAAGTCTAAGAATTAACATAATATGTTATTATAAATCACCCAAAGTATATTAGTGACATTGAGACATGCACAAAGCATAAAGGACTTTGATGGCAAAGTCATGCCCTCTATTTTGCAGATTTTGGCTCCCCTCTGGTGAATGTTGCTGCTTTTAAAATGTCTTTCCAGCCAACTCTCTGAGCCTTCTCTTCTGTTGACAAGTGGAGGCCTTAGAGCTTCTGCCTGCTCCACATTATACCCCTTTCCTCAGGACTCCAAGATGGATGTTGTGAATTGCTGATTCATAATGACTTCTAAAAGGTTGTCCTTCTGAGTCATGACAGATATTTAAAGAACAGGAAAAAAGCATAACTTCTACGATCGTGCTACATTCTTTATCCCAAACTAATAAAGATTCTTACTGAACAAAACAAGAGAGACAACTTATTGGGCTTGATAACAATATGATGCTCCAAACATCCATCTTACCTGTGGTATCTTGTAGATACTCAGAATGGTGGCCATGAAAACGCATGTCTGGGAGTCAGGTCCCCCAATTGTGGCCATGTTAGTACTTTGGGAATCACACTTATAGTTTGGAATGAACTTGACCCATGTGGACAGAAGCTCCAGTGAAGCCAGGTAAGTTAAACGTCCAGTGAAGTAGGTGTTATAAATGTTGAAACCTAGGGAGATGTTGTACAACAATTGAGGATCTTCGTTGATCTCCTTCACAGCAAAGGCAAAAGCCAAGATGTGCTGGTAGGTCTGAGTTAGAAATCTGCAATGAGATTTAATTGCTCCATTGTAATGTATTATCTCTGCTTACTTGTTAAATTCCCATTCCCTTAATATATAGGTATTATATTTTGTAATATTATTGAATCACAAGATATCTGGGCAACTGAAGCCCAAGTTTATGTTTGCAAATGTTTTCTAATAAAAAATGTGGGATCCTTCAAAAATGGCTTTGTTGTGGCTCATAATTCTTCAAAGCACTGTGCCCAAATTTTTTAAAAAATAATTTAAAATGTGTGCGATTTAATGAGATTTATTTAAAACACTACCTAGACTTTCTGTCAAGGTGCCAATTAAAAAAAAAAAAAACACCCTCAACCATCTCAGTGTTAATATTTGTAACAAATTCAGTGAGAGAAACAGAATAACGAAATGATAAGAGTTGGAAGGGATCTTGGAGGTCTTCTAGTCCAACCCCTGGCTCAAGCAGGAGAACCTTTACCATTTCAGAGAAATGGCTGACCAATCTCTTCTTAAAAACCTCCAATAATGGAGCATCTACAACTTCTGGAAGCAAGTTGTTCCGTTGATTAATTGTTCTAACTGTCAGGAAATTTCTCCTTATTTCTAGGTTGGTTCTCCCTTTGACCAGTTTCCATCCATTGCTTCTTGTCCAACTTCGAGGTGATTTGGAGAATAGATCGACTCCCTCTTCTTTGTGGCAGCCCCTTAGATATTGGAACACTGCTATCAAGTCCCCCCTAATCCTTCTTTTCATTAGGCTAGGCATACCTCATTCCTGCAACCATTCTTCATATGTCTTAGCCTCCAGTCCCCTAATCACTCACCTTTGTTGTTCTTCTTTGCACTCTAAAGTTAAAAACAGGATTTGACCTTGGGTTTGCATGAAAAGAGTTCTACCAACTGTGTATCTTAGCATAAAATATGGTGTCATCATGATCTCCATGCCCTAATTGCAGAGATAGGATTTCAATTATGTCAACATCACTGAGCTTTTCCTAACCATCAAAACATGCTTCTTAATTGCAAGTTCATTTTCCATGCAAAATATTCAAATCCCATCCTGTTAGGGGTTGTTTTACTCATTTACATTTTTGACGGCTTTCATTTGTCTTTCATTTAACAGTTCATAATTAGTAATGGGATATTTTTCTAAGGTAAATATATTTTCACCAATTTTCCTTTCTATAGCAGGACAGTGAAATGAATAATTCTCTCTTTCTCTCTCTTTTTTTTTAAAAATTGATTTATATGCTGCCCTTCTCCGGAGACTCAGGGCAGCTTACAATGCATTAAGCAATAGCCTTCATACTTTTGTATATTTATACAGTCAGCTTATTGCCCCCACAAACTGGGTCCTCATTTCACCTACCTTAGAAAGGATGGAAGGCTGAGTCAACCTTGAGCCTTGGAGAGATTCGAACTTACAGTAATTGCAGACAGCTGGCGTTAATCACAATGCTATCAGTCTGCTGAGCCACCAGGCCCTGTGGTGGCTTAAAATTGATGACAAATTATAGAAACATGATAATAAGAATCATAATATGTCATAAAGAGGTGTGGGTGGGATGGTGGTGATGGAATGCATCCTATTTATCTCTATCCATTGAGCACTTTGCTCAGCAATATTATCTAAAGTACTGTGAATGTACTTCATATTTGCCTGGAGTCCTTAACATTGGATCAAAACTACGACCCATTAAATCTTAAATCATGCTATATGCCTTAATTCTGCAACCCAACAAGACAGACACAGAGGATAATTAGAACTGCAGAAAAAAACAATTGCTACCAACCTGCTTTCCATTGAGGACCTGTATACTGCACGAGTCAAAAAGAGGGCTGTGGAAATATTTACAGACGCCTCGCATCCTGGACATAAACTGTTTCAACTCCTACCCTCAAAACGACACTATAGAGCACTGCACACCAGAACAACTAGACACAAGAACAGTTTTTCCCCGAACGCCATCACTCTGCTAAACAAATAATTCCTTCAATACTGTCAAACTATTCACTAAGTCTGCCTTACTATTACTATTAATCTTCTCATTGTTCCTATCACCCATCACCTCCCACTTAGGACTGCACGACTGTAACTTTGTTGCTTGTATCCTTACAATTTATATTGATTATTTCCTAGTATGATTTGATTGCTTATTTGTTCCCTATGACTATCATTAAATGTTGTACCTTATGATTCTTAACGAATGTATCTTTTCTTTTTATGTACACTAAGAGCATATGCACCAAAGACAAATTCCTTATGTGTCCAATCACACTTGGCCAATAGAATTCTATTCTATTCTATTCTATTCTATTCTATTCTATTCTATTCTATTCTATTCTATTCTATTCTATTCTATTCTATTCTATTCTATTCTATTCCTTAAGTCAATTGAGAAGTAAAGTTTACTCTTGCTGCCTGAGTCTAGGGGCTGACCCACAACCTGAAACATTTGGTTTAAGGTACCAGTTACTTACATGAGGTCATCAAGGAGTTCAAAAGAGGGATGCCTTTCAAAATTGAGAGGATTGGAAAACATGTAGCTCTGCGAACTAATGCCAGCTATGATAACATCCCCCAATTGATAATACTTATTATTGATTTTGGGAGGAACACCAATTATGCATTTAGGAACTGGAACGTCACACACTGCCCAAGGAGACAATATGAAAATCAAGAGAATAAAATTCATCATCTTGCATTCACAACTTCTCCTTATCACCAAGTCAACTGTTTCTTTCCCATCATTCCAGTGTTGGCGATATGCTGTGCTATCCTTCCAGGGCCAGGAATGTCAGCTTCAGCAGGAAATCCAGTGCTCTCAACTGCGTCAAAGTCCTTGCTCCAATTAGTCCAGCACTTATTAAGAAGACTTCTTCAATCTTGATTCACTATTTTTGTTAGCCTCTACCAGGAAATCCCTTGTCATCTGCAGAAGTGTTCCAAGTAATCAGCATCAATTGGATAATTATAGGGAACTAAAACTCTTAATCATCATTTGATCTTCATGTAGCAGAAGAGAACATTTTCCCTCTATAGTTTCAGCGAAGAGTTTCTCTTTTTTTAAAAAAAGTTTCAAAACAATGCATCCCCATGGGAGGAGGGGAATAGATCAAAATGTATGAACGTATTTTAGTATATACTTATAATAGGCATGAATTTTTATTTTTGTACAGGCTGTCAGATTCTGATCCAAATTTGGTTACTATGCTTCAGTTTGGGATTTTTTTCCATTTTTAAAAACCCTGCTAAAATATAATAATTAACTTATTTTATTTAGATGAATTCCTCCATCCACACATGCACTGGAATAAATATATCAGACGCAGGAAATACAATCAAAGTACCTGAGGGTTGTAATCAGTGGTGGGATTCAAATAATTTAACAACTGGTTGTCTGCCCTAATGACCGGCTGGGTGGGCGTGGCCATGGTGGGCATGGCCAGGGGGTGTGACAGGCAGCACAGTGTAAGAACATGATTCATGGAAGGAAGAAATCTAAAATGTGAAAATGCAAGTGTCAGCATTCTGATGCTGCCATAAAAGGACGAGGCTTGACTTTTCACCTACTTATTTTCTCTGTTGATAATATCCCCTAGGAGATGGGATGGGAGGGGGGAACATTCCTGTGGGGGTGAGGTCAGAAGCTGGGGAGACTGACTTGGAAGATGGCCAATGAGAAGATGAGAATTGGGGAATGGAAAGGGAAGAGTTTGGGGGTCAGAGGGTTAATATCGGCTACGACGAAGTTGGGGCCAGATCTGTCGTACTCAATAAATGGAATATTTCAGCAAGGATTAATTGTTTGTGAGTGCAATTTATTTGAGATGACATCGAAGCCTGACAGCAAGTTTTAGTACCAATTATCCATTGAGAAGTATTCACTGATTGGGAATATAACAAAATGATCATGGGAATAAATCAATTCTCTGAAAACATTCTTTGAGAACAAGTTAAACATTCTTATAGAGTTAAAATTGGTTGGATGTAATAAAATATACATGTACTATAATTCTTGACTTATGACTGCAATTGAGCCAAAAATTTCCATTGCTAAGCAAGACAGTTGTTAAGTGAGTTTATCCCATTTTATGATCTTTGTTGTTACAGTTGTTAAGTAAATCACTGCAGTTAAGTTAGTAATATGGCTATTAAGTGAATCTGGCTTCCCCATTGACTTTGCTTGTCAGAAGGTCACAAAGGGGGATCACATGACCCTGGGACAGTGCAACTGTCATAAATATGAACCAGTTGCCAGGTGTCTGAATTTTCATCACATGACCAGGGGGATGTTGTGAAAAATGGTCCTAAATCACTTTCTTCATTGCCATTGTAAATTTGAATGGTCACTAAATGATTGGTTGTAAGTTGAGAATTACCTGCTGTCATTTCAGTGGAGAAGTGTTTTATGGGTACATATATATTACCTGTTAACAACTCTGCTTTGGCTAGCAGAAAAATATGATAGGAACAAAGAATGACTCATTTATTTATTTATTTATTTATTTATTTATTTATTTATTTATTTATTTATTATTGCAATTTATATGCCACCTTTCTCCCTGGGGACTCAAGGCGGCTTACATAATAATATAATCTGTATGCCGCCCTATCTCCGTAGGACTCAGGGCGGCTCACACCAAATAAAACAAACCCAATAAAACATAAAATACATAAATATGCATACATAAAATACATAAATGTATAAATATATAATTTAAACATATCTTAAAACCCATTAAAATAATCAAAAAACCCCTCAGTCCAGGCTGGGCGATGTAAACAGCCATGTTTTTAATTTGTGGTGGAAGGTGCGAAGGTCAGGATCCAACCGAAGCCCCAGAGAAAGTTGATTCCAAGGAGTGGGCATGGTCACAGAGAAAACTCTACCCCTGGGGACCGCCAGCCGACATTGTCTAGCTGATGGCACCCGGAGAAGGCCCTTCCTGTGAGAACGCACCAGGCGATGGGGAGCTGTTGCTGGCTGCAGATGGTCTGACAAGTATCCTGGGCCTAAGCCATGTAGGGCTTTATAGGTCATCACCAGCACCTTGAATCTCACCTGGAGGGCAACCGGTAACCAATGCAAGTCGCGCAGGAGAGGTATAACATGGGAGTATCAAGACTCTCCCACCACAACCCGCGCGGCCGCATTCTGCACCAGCTGAAGCCTCTGAGTGGTCCTCAAGGGCAGCCCCAGGTAGAGAGCATTACAATAGTCAAGACGGGAGGTGACTAGCGCATGAGTAACTGCGTGTAGAGCATCTTGGTTCAAATAGGGGCACAATTGATGCACCAGACAAATCTGGGCATACGCCCCCCTGGTCATGGTTGTTATATGATCATCTAAACTCAACTGTGAATCCAAGAGGATACCCAAGTTGCGTGCCCTGTCTACAGGGGGTAAAATTTCACCCCCTATAGCCAACGATGGAACCTCTCTATCGGATCGAGATGTTGGTACCCACAGCCACTCAGTCTTGGCAGGGTTGAGCTGAAGCCTGTTCCTCCTCATCCAGACCCGTACCGCTTCCAGGCACCGGGACATTACGTCGAGGGCATCACTGGGCTGGTTCGGAGTGGATATAAAAAGCTGGGTATCATCAGCATACTGATGGTACCTCACCCCAAAACCACGGATGATCTCCCCCAGTGGTTTCATATAAATATTGAACAGAAGGGGCAAGAGAACTGACCCCTGGGGCACCCCACAAGTGAGGGGCCTCATGGTTGATCTCTGCCCCCTGCCAACACCGTTTGTGTCCAACCCGAGAGGTAAGAGGAGAACCACCGTAAAACGTTGCCTCTCACTCCCAACCCCTCGAGGCGCCGCAGCAAGATACCATGGTCGATGGTATCAAAAGCCGCCAAAAGATATAATAGGACCAGAACAGAGGAATAACCTCTGACCCGAGCCTTCCAGAGATCATCCACGAGCG